ATAACCATCCTAGTCTAGTCCGGCTGTTGAAGCGGCGAAATACACGTGACCAAATTGTTAATTAAAATGTTTTTCTGACATTATTGCAATTTTTTAATTGATTTAAATGAGTATTGCTATTTAAGTGTAAAAATTAAACTTACAATCAAAACTCACTGAAGTGACCCTCTATTGAATATCTAAGTCAACTCTATCTCTTTCTCATTTATTTTTTAATTATTAATCAATTATTTTATTGACATATCACTAAATCTAAAATATAAACTTGTATATTATTTTTTATTTTAAATAAATCTCAAAAGATATATTTATGTTTATTTTTTATTTTTATCTCACTAGGGTCGGCCGACTCCATCACATTACAGCTTGTGGTCCCTCCAATTTCATGGCCCCTCCAATTTCATGGCTCAAAATACTACAAGTAACTTTCAAGGCTTATCAAAAATTGAAATATTGAGTATTGACTCTCGAAAAAAACAAGAAAGATTGAAAGGCATAGTGGACCCACTTGTCCCATGAAAGTGTGTTTTGTTTACTTTACTTTCCTTTTTATTTTATTTTTCTTTTTTTTTTGGTCCTTTTTATCTTTTTCCTCTTTTCTTTGTTAGGTGTCATGTGAAAATTGACATGGTTAGACACAGTAGTGGAGTGAGGATTTTGCCTTGGGAGGGATAATATTAAATTAAGATTATAGTGATGTATAATTTTGATTCTTAATTGAGAGTAAAATAACTAAAAATGAACATAGCTTCATATTTAAAATTTTAAAGTTATGTTCAAGTTAGTTAGATTTTTTGTTTTATGTTTTTTATTTTTGATTGATTGTTTATTTATTATTAATATGATTTGCTATTTTAGTTTTGTGAACATGATGATCATTGAAATTTAAGATGCGATTACATAATATTATTAAAAATGAGAATGACAAAATTACATCAAAAAACACCCAAAGAAAAAAGAAAGTGGAAGAGAAAGACATGAGAGAAAAGAGAGAAATAATATAGAATTTAAAAGAAAATATTTTAGCAAAATTAAATATTTAGAGTGACAAATTGCAAGAATTTGTATTTTATTTTAATTAATGAATCATGTTATAATGAAACTAATGAATTATAATCATAATGAAAATCAATACACCATATAATTAATATAAATAAATATTTTCAAAAATAAGAGAGAGAAATCATAAATAAATAACATGAAAAATACAATCAATAACCAGATTGAGATATTTGAACCTCTAACCTCATAATGAAAATGTAAGAATTTTGACTAATAGATTAACCCTATTGGTTTTGCAAAGATTTTGTCAAATATATATAAATATATAAAATAAAAATAAAAATAAAACAAAATAGAAGATGAGATATCAAAAATTATCACATATTTTGAATTTTAAAAATTAATTATTTTTCAAATGGATGTAGAAAGGCAATTTTCAAAATTTGAGGGGGCACGTGACCCTCGCGGTCCCAACGTGTCTTCGCTCCTGGTTAGACAACATGATTCTCTATGATTTAATAAAATATTATCTACATTATTGAATAATATGATAGAAAAAACTTTATAGGTTGATCATATCATATTGGGGAAAAAAAAATTCCCTCTAAAAAAAAAATTCATTACTAAAGAGTCTTGTGACTGCATGACACATTAAAAAGATTCATTAATAAAACAGGGTAAGAGGTATTATCCTCAGAGCAACTAGTAATTTTTGAGAAAATTAAAAATCAGTGTAGAAGATTTGAAATAATTATACATACATAAAAGATATAATTTTTGTATAATAAAATCACAGCAAAAATTAGACTCCCAATCTTTTAATAAATTATGTTTTCACTTTCTCCCATCTGGTAATTTTTCCATAATTTTTGTGCCATAACATTTCATTTTCTCAATAAATAAGCTGTCCTTTTTCCTCAATAAACAAACTTCGGCATTTCTAATGTTGCAATATGTTTTTTGACAAGTGTTAATTTTCTAAAGCAGAGAGTTGTCGAGGCATCATTATCGCACTCTTATGGTTGAAAAGTCCACTTGAAGGTTGCCATGGCTTCCCACTCCCAATTGTTTTCCAAAATTTGCCATCATCATTAATATTTTAATGGGATTATCATTCCTAATTTAATTACAAAAATAATTTTAGTTATATTTTCAATAATACTACGAAGTTAAAAAAAATTATAAAAAATGAATGAAAAATAAAAAATACTTGCTAACTTTGGGAACTCCTTATAATAATCAAAAAAATTAAATAAGTTAAAAAGTCAACAAATTATATAAAAAAGTCATAGATTTTTTATTTGCTTTCTACTTTTGTATGTTTTTTCGTAAAAATTTAAAAATTAATTTTTTTTCACCTCATAATTTAACTAAAAAATTAAAATATTATTAAAATATTCTATTTTCAAATTGATCCTAAAATAATTAAAAAATTAAAAAAAATCACTACCAAAAAATTTAATTTAATTTTTTAAATATTTTTACATATCTTTTTTAAAATATTAAAAAAAATAACTAAAATAGTTCTCAAAACAACCAAAAAACTTTATCTATTAATTTTTTGGGCAAATTACATATACACCCCTCGAGGTTTGGTTAAATTACAGATACCCCTGAGGTTTCGAAAATTACATCCCGCCCCCTGAAGTTTGTATTTTCATAACAATTTACCCCATGAGATTTATATTTCATAACAAATTACCCCCTAATTTCTTATGCAAATATAGCATTCATGGGGGAATTCGTAATTTCTCAAACCTCAGGAGTATCTGTAATTTAGCCAAACCTCGAGGGGTGTATATGTAATTTGCCCTAATTTTTTTGATTACAAGAGTCCATGATCAGAGGTCAAGAATCCTTCTTGTTATCTTACTGTCGGTAGTTATGATCCTCTATCGTAACATATATGTGCAATCGCATCAAAGTTTTACATCCCTATCATCACGGTGGCAGAATTCCCGCCTTTGGATAAGCGTTATCATCTTAATCACCACCATTCACCTTTCGATCAAAACCAAACGCTACAATATTTATTCATTTTTCCGACGGACACATATACATAATCATCTCCCATGCCTCTTGTCCTGACCCGTTAATTTGTCATCTAATCGTCCTATGTCCACAATTAAAATAGTTCAATATGTAAAATTGGTCGGAAAAATTATTTTTATAAAAAATAAATTAATCAGATATTAATAATTATTTAATTAGATTATATTTATATTAATAATTTGTTTTAAAAATTATACTTATTTCTAATACAAATATTATTTGATCAAGTTGGTATTATATCTGTCGAGGTCTTTGTAACTCACTGACATGTAATCACGTCTTAAGGTGCGGTAAGTAGAAGATCTGAGATTCGAACTAATAGATCAGCATCGGCTTCTTTAAATTGTAATCTAACTCCACTAACTCCACTAACATTCTACCTTTGACAAAAAGAAAAAGCTATTATATTGAATTAATGTGATTTTTTTTAAATAATTTACTTAATAAATTTTACACATTAAACGATTTAAATTAACAACAATGCTAAATTTACTGAATTTAGTGTTGTTCTAATTGTCGGAATTTATTCATACCAATTGTCTGAATGATAAGGTGATGATCACGATGGACAAGAATAAAATCAATTGTCTAGCAAATCGTCCAAAAAATTGTTCGATTGACACAAATTTAGTGGATGTTTGGAAAGTGAATTTTTTTGTAATATTTTTAGTTGTAGGATATTATTAGAGAATTTTTTTTTTTTTGTGTTTAGAAAAATAGTTAAATTTTTTTATGATTGGATGTAATGTTTGTGAGAGAAAAAATGAAATTATTATGAGATTTGATGTGATATTTTGTTTGAATTTATTTTTTTGATTTTGTAACTAATTTATCTTTTAATAAAAAAAAACTCAAAAACTTCCTTCCCAAACGACTATTCAAACAACAATAAATTCGATAGACAAATCATTTGAAATTGAGGAGGGCCAGAAACGGGACCACCATCAGCAAACAGTAGCCAAACCTATATCAATAGGACCACCACAAGCTAACAGGAGCCAAACCTATATTATTATGGCTTTTTTGAATAGAAGGTTAAAGAGTTATATTTTGATTAATTTATTTTGAATCTTAGGGCATTCATAATAGATGTGTCAAAATTATGTGTTAAAGTGCATGTTATATAACAAAAAATATTAAAAGTGAGACAAAAAAATATGTGTTAAGAGTTTGTTAATTTAGTGAGTGAATAGTGAATGAATAGTGGTACAATAGATGTATTAAGGGGTGTGTTAAATATATATATATATGTATATAATAAATAAAATAAATAAATAATTTAGTTTAATCAAAAATTTCAAGCCCAAAATTAAATTTCGAATCCAAAAAAAAATCCCAGCAAATAAAAAATAAAAAAAACTGCCGTTGACCAATCAACCGGTAAGACCAAAAAAACGCTCTCATTCGCTAGCTAAAACGCTCGCTGCAGATAACAAACAAGTTAACACAAGTTAACAATTGACAAATTTAACATACTGTAGAAATTTAATGTATAAAGAGAAATAGAGAATTGTATTATTGATTGATTTATATTGATATCTATTACAATGATTCATGATTCCTATATATAGAAGAGGGTGAGTGTGTAGTAGGTAAGGAGTAGGTGAAGTGGAGGTGGTAGTGGTGTAGTGGGTTAGGTTTAGTGGAGTAGGTTTAAGTGGGTGAAGTAGGTGGAGAGTAGGTGGATTTTAACACATACCGACTAAGAGTTCCATTGTGAGAACAAAAATAAAAAATGACTAGCTAAAAAATAACAACTAACACTAACACTAACACTAACACATGTTCTAACAGCTCCATTGTGAATGCTCTTATCTCTTCATTTATTTACACGGTTTTATAAAAAATATTAAAAGACATTAAAAAAAAATTAACTTTTAACCATCTTAAAAAATAAAATAAATAAAACATATGAATAAAAATAAAATAAATAAAACATATGTAATGAAATTTGTACGACACAATTCTACTCTACTAGAGCCAGAGAAACAGAGATCACCACGATATCTTCTTCATCAACCCTCTCTCTCTCTCTCTCTCTATATGTGTATTAGGTATATTTCGACAGAGCTCAACCCTTTTAGTACTCTCAATTGAGCTGTGTAATTGAGTATTTTCGTCGATTGTTGTTGTGTATTAGATTGGAGCCATTGAAGCTTTGATGATCGGACTAAGTGTTTTGAGGTCTTCGCAAATGGAAAGTGCTGTACCAGGACGACTTGCTGGATCGGAAATCCATGGCTTCCATACTATGGAAGGTACGTACAGTGACAGACTCAACACTTTTTGTTTCCATTTTGGGGGGTTCCTTTTGATTTTTTTGTGTTTCATGGTCTCAACCAGTTTGGGTCTTAGTTGTGGTGGTTGATGATGGTTTTTTCTCCATTTCTAGAAATGGAGGCTCACATGCTTTTACTTTTTGTAGGCAAATTTGAAGATGAAATTCAAAAATTAATGTTTGTCAGATAAATATAACCATTTATAGAATTTGTGCATGACTTTCAACTGTAAAAAAGTGAGCTTCAAAAACAGGGAACCCCAAATTGGTGTTCTCTCTTTGTATATTAGTGTAGATAGTGAATGAATGAAAGAATGCACTTGCTGAGTTATTGATAAGGTCATTTTGTTGATTAGGTTGCAGTGATTTTGATGGTTTGGGTACTAAAATTGCAAGTTGATTATGTTGTTGCGGGGCTATTTGGTGCAACTTATTGAGGTTTTTTTAAATTAAAAAAATATGGGAAGTTGTGTTTGAGTGTTGGATGCAACTTTTACTTACAACTTAAGATGCAAAAATTATTTAAATAAGCTGAAAATAGATTATGACTGGTGTTGGGAAAGAGGCTTCGCGTTATGTTTGAACGTTACTACTAGAGTGCGATTTCATTTAGGCGGGGATGAATTGTGCATGTGATATTTATTTGGCACTCGTGGTGGAATGTAACTGTTGGTGTTCTCAACCTACTGTTTGATGTGCTTCTTGAGAGTCGGGCTTCTGTTTTTGCTATATCTTTCTTGTTTTTGTTGGATAAGTAAATTTTTTTATAAAAAAAAGAGAAGGAACCCTTCATATGGAAGTGGAACAATTGTATATACGAAGCTTACTGGTGCATTGTTTGTTGCATGGTAAAAACTTGGTTTAGAAATCTCAAACATAGGTCTAAGTCATAGGGAAGCCCCTCTGAGTTAATTAAAGCCTGAGTTTAGTTGTGGACCCTATTCACCTCTCCTAGTTTCCCAAATTGATGGACCTATTCTGGCTGATGGCCTCTTTTTTTTACTTTTTCTTTTTGGACTCTTATATGTTTATATGGTGAAAAATTGATGATGTAGTGCTGTATTGAGAAATTAGGTGAGAGAATTATTTAAGTAAAAAGCCAGATTAGAGACTTCGATTCATATAGCTGTCCTCTATAGGTTGAGACTGCCATGATCTCTTTCATTTCCTACATGTTTGCTTATATTGCTTGCGTTATAATTTAAGGTTGATAAGTATATTCCCAATTAAATTAAATTATGAGTTGATGTTACTAGATTTTGAAGTAGTATTTCAATGGTTGATTCATTTTCTTGATACATATCCGTATGTCATGCTTATTGCTTCATATGGTTCCTTGTTTATTGGACAGATTTGGATGTTGGCAACATCATGGAGGAAGCAAAGGCAAGGTGGTTGCGACCAAATGAGATTCATGCAATACTCTGTAACTATAAATATTTCAGCGTCTATGTCAAGCCAGTGACCTTGCCAAAAAGTAATTACCGTTGATTGTTGTATGAATGCAATATACTACTAGTTAGTAGTCTCCCCCATGCAGCTTTCCAACAGTTTCTTTTATCTTTGGAGATTTAACATCCATATAAGCAAATGGTTACATTGATGCCATTGTAGAAGTAGTCAATGTAAGATAACTAACTAAGAAGAAAGATGGTCTAAGATATGTATCCTACTTGAAAAGGTTGAAACGATATGGCATGATATGATACCAGATCCAGGCAGAATGGGGATGTACGCACCTGGATTATTGAGGAACTTGTCATCGTATGTATCCATGTTGTGTATTTTCAGGAAAACTCAGCTCCCCAAATATGTTTCCCATCTAAAAATAATGATTAGACTCACTCCACAGGGAGCTGTCGGAATTTTAGGCGTAATACATAAATCAATCATATAGCTTGTGGCTTTATTTAAATGTGGAACTCATTTAAGCAACTTAAGCTCGACCGGTGAGAAAAAGTGTTTGGCCGAAGCCAAAAAGAGGTTGACCTTCTGAGATATACAGTGTCACAACTAAAGTTGGTCAAAAAACAAATGTTTTACACAACCCTAATGATATTGGTACTACTTCTTATCAATTTCAATGTTTGGAACCTCAAATAAAATGTCACTAGTAGGTGGCACACGTGATGCGTGTGCAATTCCAATAAGTAAGAATAAAAGAAAATAATAATGAAATTAATGTACTTAGCTTATGTGGTATGAGTCCTCTTACCCATGGTTAAACCCTTGGCCACAGGTTCAAGACTTGCCCAGCTCTTTGTATATCTTTTTTTTTTTTAAATAAAAAACATTACCGTGTGGCATGAGCAGACCAAAGGCTTCACTACAACAACTGAGGCCTTCACTCAATAATAGTACTAGCGGGAAATTAGTTTCATAATATGTATATTGTTTAAGTGGTAAGTATGTTCTTAATGAAACTCAAGGCCTTGGGTTCGAAATTTGCTTACGCTTTGTATAATAATTTTTTATTTTAGCATATATAAAATTGACACATGGCATGAGAAGAAGAAGGCTTCAGTACACCAACTGAGGCCTTCACTTAATAGTAGTATAGATGAGAGCACCTTTTTAATAAGTGATCTATGCTTCCTCTGCTTGCTTGCTAGCTATTTAGGCATTGTAGATGGGGATTGATGAGGCACTAAATTTAACTGGGGCTGTTTTGTTCATTGATTGAATTGAAAATGGTGATCTTTTCTCACATAAGTTAATCAATTATCATGAAATATATGAGGTATTCTATTCCTGAACTAATAAAGACTGGTTTTTCTAAGAAGATGAATTAGGAAGGCAAAATGTTGTGCTTGCATTTGTTTTCTAGACTTGGTCAATTATATTTTAGTAATTATCTTTTGAAGTCATAAATTAGCTATCTTCAATGGGTCCCATGGATTGGGTGTTTTAAATCAAGTGGGCTATTTTTTTGTTGAAATGGCTCATGTCAGTGTTATGGCTCAAGATCTCAAATGTGAAGTAGACATTTTTAACTCTAATCCTATCATCTGCAACTCTTCTTTTGTTTGTACATTTCTCGAAGATGCCCGTTGTAGTATAAAATTTTGTAATGTGTTGCATTGTGCTGGTTTAAAAATGAAGTTTGTAACTTTTGAGGAATTGAATGTGCATTCAAGAAGTTTCCATGGCTCTTGATATTGCTTGATTGATCATGGTCCTATCTAATATTTTTTTTTTTTTTTTAAATTAATAGGTGGTACAATTGTGTTGTTTGACCGTAAAATGCTCAGGAACTTTCGGAAAGATGGTCATAACTGGAAGAAGAAAAAGGATGGGAAGACTGTCAAAGAAGCTCATGAACACTTGAAAGTAAGATTTTCTAATTCGTAAAATGTTTAATTGTCATGATAAAGCTTTATTTATGTGATTAATAGCAGAAAAAGGAGATGATGGTGTTCCTCCAGGTGCAGGATATATGTTGTTGGTTACTACTTTTCATGATCTTAGATTGATAGTTTTGTATTGAAACTGTTAAAATCCACCTACTCTCCACCTACTTCACCCACTTTCAATCAATAATACAATTCTCTTTTTCTCTTTATACATTAAATTTCTACAGAAACATATGTATTGTGAACTTGTATGACCTTAGATAGAGTCAAGGGGCAAAAAAGGATGTGTGTTGTGGCTGTTGCCAAACTAAGTCAATAATTTATAGTCAATGATACATGAGCTCTTAGATAGTTTTTAGTAGACGTGTACGTTGAAATGTCTATGACATGTCAATATGTCATTTACATGATTAATGGTGTAAGCATCAAGAATAGAATGTCGGACCTCATTAAATTACTTGAGCTTTCCTTTTTAGTACAAATTGTAAATGCCCTGTATTAGGCAAGTACCACCATGTAAAGTTTGAAATAATTGAAGTTTCTAAGGATTGGATTTGTGTCTATACAGCGTTCTCATTTAGTTTTTTCTTTTTAGAACTTTACATGTTTCTATGTAAGTGTAACAGGTTCCGATTATAACATATAAGACATTATAATTTTTGCTACTCGGTATTAGGATACTGCTTTATTTGCTAGGCATGTTCATATGTTTCTCTCTCACCAAGGTTTTAAGTTAAATTTTCTAATGTTTGTCAGGCATTCATTAAATAAGGAGAACTCTGAATGCCCAGAATGCTATCTTGGTTGTTTGTTACTCGATTTGGTATTTAATTTATCTAGGGAGTTGGTACTGAACCGGTTCCCTATGTTACTATTATTAGTTTGCTCTAGAACTTAAATAGGTTTCTTCATTATCATGAAGAAGAATGTTGGTCCACTATTTATGCTTGGCATATTCATTTTTATTTGCTTTACTTTTAAAAACTTTGGCTGTGTTTGGTAGAGTTTTCTAAAATTAATTTCACCCTTACATTCTAATGCTATGTTTGGTTTGAGTTTTGAAATCATGATTCCAAATCAATTTCAAAATACATTTTGAAAACATTTTCGGTAAAGTAGACAATTTTTAAATTTTTGGTCTACCCGGTCGTTTGGTTGGTTGACCGGCACAGTGCTCTTTTTTTTTTCAATTGCCAATCGCCACCTATTATTTGGAAAAAAAAAAAAATATTTATATTCAGTGTGTTTGGTTTTAGTTTTTTGAAAATTCAGTTTTTTGTTTTTCGTATTTTTTTTTGTTCTTAGTGAATATTTTTTAAATTTTAAATAATTTTTTTACGTTTTTAGATACACCTTACTTAGATGTATCTAAATAGTAAAATATTTGTGAAAAAATATTTTAAAAACTAATAAATACAAAAAATGTACTTAATTTTCTTTCTTTTTTTTTTTGTATTTTTTGGTATTTAGTGTATTTTTTAAATATTTTTTTTTCACAAATGTTATATTTTTTAAGTGTATTTATGTTAAGTGTGTCTAAAAATTTTTAAAAAAAATGATTAAAATATTAAAAAAATTCGTTGAAAACATTAAAATACGGAAAATAAAAAAGTAAAATTTTCTGAAAAATGTGCTTATTGTTTTTAATATTTTTTAAATATAGAAATCATTTTTTCAGACCAAAATGACAAATTAGTTTTTTGAATTGAATTTTAAAAAAAAGTTTGATTACGAGTGTTGACTAAAATTTTCAATAGAGTTTTGAGTTGTGTGTTTGTTTATGAGTTATAAGTTTTTCAATTAAGTTTTGAAAACTCTTTTCAAAACTCATAACCAAACAACTTTTCTCAATTCATATTTCACATCAAAAATTCAAAACTCTTTTCAAAACTCATAACCAAACAAATTTTTTCTTTTCAAATCAGAATTCCAACACTCACAAACTCAAAATACAACATTCTCATATCATAATTCTAAAATTCTACCAAACACTACCTTTGCTTTTAAATTTTCTATTATCTCTGTCCTACTCTTTATCTTCAATTTTTGGAGGCAACTATCTGCCACTCCATATGGATGTGTACTTTTTCTATCTTTATTATGTTTTACTCATTCGTTGGTTACTATTGGATATGGTAATTATAACCTTCAGGGTGTAATTATCAGGTATATAAGTTTCTCTTCTTGTTCCCCACACTAGAAGGGAAAAAACCCAAAAGTTTTTTATTATGTTGCTATTTTTAATTTTCTGAAACGTTTGTGTACCACATAAAGACTGCAAAACTCGCATTATTTTTTTATTCAAACGATTAATGTTATTCTTTAAATTAATTTGGCGCAAATGTCTATTTCCATTGTACTAATTTTGCATCAATTAAAATTTGCCAATTCACATTTTTGTCTGAAGTACAGGTCGGTGACGAAGAAAGGATTCATGTATATTATGCTCATGGTGAAGATTACCCAACCTTTGTTCGCAGATGTTACTGGCTACTTGACAAGTATGAAATGGTTTAAACTTATATGGTTCCATGAATTACCCATTTCTAGTTGTTTCTTGTATTATCCACTCTGATGTCAAATAAATTGCATTTTCTACTCATTGGCACAGCATATGTTATGAACTAAGAAGCACAAACACTTCTAAGAAGGTGGTGTGTCCGCGTCCAACACATGTTGAACACTAATGTTCAGTGGAACACTTTTTGACACGTGTTGAACACACATCCCAACATATCCTATTAATAAAAAGACTCGAATACACTTTAAAGACTTAGGTGACACAAGTGTCCATTGTTTAAACACTCATGAAAGACATTACAAATTTGAGCAAAATAGCTTAGGATCTAATGATAAAAGAAATATAAGGTAGATTTATACATATTATTAATCCATTCTCCTTTAAACTTCGGAAGTTCGTGCTATGTATATTTTTATTAACATTGAATTACATGTAATAAATATTCAAAATTATATATTTTATGTGTTCCCCAGTTGTCACTTTCTGCATTGTTAGAAAATTGTCGTGTTAGCGTGTCTATGTCGTGTCATGTTTGTGTTTGCACTTCTTAGCATATGAATAAGGGTTGCTTACGCTAAGTTTTACCGTCGTTGGAATTTTTTTTCAGGGCACTGGAACACGTAGTCCTTGTTCATTATCGTGAAACCCAAGAGGTTGGTCCCGTATGCCTCATCGAAACTCTCTTCTCTCTAAACATGTATGCATGCGCGCACATGCATACAAGTTTTTATTTTTCAATTTTTTTGGACTGTTATAGCCTTGGGAAACTAGTTAAAGAAGTTTGAAGAAATTCATTGTTAATTTAATGAACCGATTGATCTCAACTCAAAGCATTGGCTGTACCAAACTTTTGATATCAAAATATAAAATTATCTCATAATCAAATATATCAATTTTATCTTAGCTATTTTATCTTGGGCCTCTTTCAAGGCAGCAGGACAGTGTGTTTATTTGTTGTATATGGGCAGCACCCCCTTTTGATGCTCTTTTTATACACTTCTTTTTAATAAGTCTTTGACTTTTTATACACTTGCAAAATAAGTATATCAACCTTTTTTTATTTTATTTTAGTAAAGGAACTCCAAGTTCTTCACAACACTATGAATCCTAGCTGTGTCACATCATTTCAGAGGTCATGCCTCTGCCATAACTATCGTAGGCACAGAAAGAACCAATGGGCATTTGATAGTATGAAAGAGAAGATAGGATATATTGCAAACATTGATAGATAAGCTTGAGCTTATCTCTAAGATGAATGGTTTATGCCTTCCGTTTTTTCATTCACTTTAGGTCTTAACAATTGGTGCTAACTATATTATGTGCTGTGGTTGATCATGACTTACTTGCAGGGTTCTCCCGTCACTCCTGTCGATTCAAATTCTAGTTCAGGCCCCTCTGACCCATCTGCTTCTTGGATCTTATCAGAAGAAACTAATTCTGCAGCTGATCCAGCTTATTATGCTGTGGAGAAAGCACAATTAGGTGGTGATGATGGAACTTTTTCTAATACTACTCTATTACATCATCAGCGTGAAGGGTTCTGTTTCTTTCCGTTTACTGTAAAGGAAGTGTGGAGTTCAGGGGAATTTAATAATAACTAGTCTTCATAAGGAATAACTTCTTTGTTTTTATTTGTTAAAATTGTCACGTTACTGAACTTTTTTTCCCTTGGAAAATGTGATGTGTTTTAATTTTTCTCTTCTTGGCAACTTGACAGAGTCCAGTGACAGTATGACCCTCAAAAATTATGAAAGGAGACTTCACGAGATCAATACACTGGATTGGGAAGAGCTTGTGGTGCCAGATGATCCCAGGAAGCTGAGTGCACCTGATGGAGGTGGTTAACTTAATGCTTCTTGTAGTGAAGCTAGGAGATCCAAAGGAAACCATTGACGTTGTATCTTTATTTATTAATTTTTGGGCTAGTATTTTGTCATATTTACTATCTCCAGATTTTTTGGCAGGAAAAACTTCATGCTTTGAACAGCAGAATCAATTTGGAACAAATGGATTCATGAGTAGTGTAAGTGCATCTCTCTCTCTCTCTCTCTCTCTCTCTCTCTCTCTCTCTCTCATGTCCTTTTTCTTTCCTCATTTACTTGGATGAGGCAATTATTTCTATTTTTCTACCTATAATTGTTATAAGACTAGTGCCGTTTATTTAGATGCGACAATTATTTCTATTTTCTACTGATAATTATATAACTTGATGCTGTTTATTTAGGAGTGACAATTATTTCTAATGATAATCTTATATAATTTAGTCAAGTCTGTCTTACAGAAAGAAACAAATGACGTACAGTTATTGAAATGTTCTCTGCGTGAAGTTAAACTTTTTTTGTCCTAAAATCTGTTTGTGGTTAGAAAATTTAAATGAAAACCTTATAGATGGTTGTGGCCAGAACCACGCAAAATCTGTGTGCTTCCTCTGGAAAACAGGAATATTTTTCCCAAAAGGGTAGAATGTTTTGCATCTGATTGAACATATGGGATGATGATTGTGTGTGGGGAAACTGGGCAACGGAGACTTAAGTTGGGAGTACTGCGCTTTCGGCAGTGGAACTGGACATGAGAAATTAAAGAAGAAAAGAAAAATATAACTTCCCCTTCTATTTTTTTTTTTTTAAAGAGAAATAAAGGAAGTATGTCTGTTCATAGTTTTTGTCCCTAAAAGGTGTAGTAGTGAAGAAAGAAAATCCCCATTGTTGAATTTCATTAAAGATACAGTTTTTATCGACTGTCAAAGAGACCCCCTGGCATGGAAGGCAGGTATTCAAGTTAAAAGTTTTCTATATTCTGTAGAGATTGTCAATTCTAACCAGAGTATGAACATGCCTTTGACATGATAGCAGTTTGGTTTATTTTTAAGCAACACTATGGCAGTTTTAGTAGGGGTGCATCTCTGATCTTTTAAATACAGTCTATTGATTCTTCATGCCATTATTATGTGTCAAGGTTGGCTTCGTGAGGCTCAAATTTTTTCTTTTGTATGGCTTAAATGCTGATGCTTCATGGCTGCCAACATGCTTAGACTTGAGATTCAGGTTTAACATTATTTAATTTTAATTCTTCTTCATAGTAGTTTTGTAAAAATCAATGTATAAAGAGAATTGTATAGAGAATGAATGATGTATTATTGATTGATGTATTACAAGATTGATCTATTCTGTATATTACAACTCCTATATATAGAGGAGAAGATGGTAGTGGAGTGTGTGATAGTGGAGGTGGTAGGTGTGGAGAAAAATAGTGGAGGTAGTAGGTGAGTGGTATAGTGGAGGTGGTAGGTGTGGAGAAAGATAGTGGAGGTAGTAGGTGAGTGGTAAATTCTAACAAGTTTCCTGGCATTCCAGTCTAGACTATTACAAATATTCCCGGGGAACATAATCCATAATTTATCCATTTTTAGGTGGTTTGTCTGCCACAATAGGATAAATTTTTTTTGTATCAGTAGTCTTACAGCATCAACATACGTTATGAATTTTAGTTTGGCTAACCTGACTTATGCATCTACTTAACATGGTACCAACCACTAAACTAAGCCAATATAATGTTTGCAACTCTGAATTTGGGAATTTCTTCGCAGGGTACCATCCTATCAGCCAACAATTTGCCTACGGGAAATTCTTTTGTGAGTCAGTCTGAGACAGTTGACCAGATTAACTCCATTCATTTGAATACATCGGACAATCTTTGCTTTCAAAGGATGGAAGGTCAAACAAATTCAAGTTTCCAGAAAAAGGATTGTCAACTGATGGCACTGGACACTGGTGATTCTTTGGACATTCTGGGAAAGGATGATTTGAAAACTCAAGACAGCTTCGGAAGGTGGATGAACTCTGTCATGTCTGATTCACCAGGATCAGTGGATGATCCGACTCTGGTTTCCTCAATTTCGACTGGTCATGAATCGTTTACTTCTCCTACAATGGATCATCTTCAATCATCTGTTCCAGGACAAATATTCAGTATAACTGATGTCTCTCCTGCATGGGCTTTTCCAACTGAAGAGACGAAGGTTCTTTCCTTTATGACAATTATGCTACTATTTGGTCATCTGGTTATGTGTGCACACTTTTCATATGCATTAGGACAAGGTTTTTGTTTTGACTTGTTCATTATACTCAGTTTCTTCTGTTTCCAAGTGTTCATCTTCTTTATGAATCGTTGGTATCATATTTTACAAATTGGATAATTTTCAACTGTGTTTGTTCCCGCGGCGAAAAAACTGGTATAATTTTTCTATTCTCTTTTATTTTAAAGTATGCTATGTATTTTGTTTGTGTGTGTATTCAATTGTGGATGTAATGGAAATGTGGTTTGCTGCATGAATTAGTTTACGAACATCCTGGAATTAGTCAGTAATCTTTCTTGAGACTTAAAAAATGAATTCAGTAAAATGTGCCCTTTGTATATGTTTCTTAAGTAACTAAGCAATTGAGTATTTTAGCTGACCTTCAGTATTTGCTGTTGCAGATCCTCATCACCGGATTTTTTCATGGTGGGCATCCACAACTTGCAAAATCCAACATATATATTGTGTGTGGAGATGCATGTAGTCCTGCAGAGATTGTCCAATCTGGAGTTTTCCGCTGTTTGGTTTCATCACATGCCGCTGGAATAGTAAATCTTTATTTGAGTTTTGACGGCCGCAATCCGATCAGCCAAGTTATGACCTTTGAGTATCGTACTCCTCTGATGCACACCTCTATTATTTCTGCAGATGAGAAGTCTAAGTGGGAAGAGTTTAGAATTCAGATGAGGCTTGCTCACTTGCTCTTTTCTACCTCTAGGAACCTTAGCATTTTATCTAGTAAAGTATCACCAAATTCCCTCAAAGAAGCAAAAATCTTTGCCCGCAAAACCTCCCAATTTGCTGATGGTTGGGCACATATGATGGAGTCATTTGAAAATAACAAAATCTCTTTTCAACAAGCGAAGGACAGCTTGTTTGAGCTAGCTCTGAAGAACAGACTACATGAATGGCTGTTGGAAAGAGTAGTTGAAGGGCACTGTAAAACTTCTGACTATGATGATGAAGGTCAAGGTGTAATACATTTGTGTGCTATCCTAGATTATACATGGGCTGTCTACCCATTTGCCCAGTCTGTCTTATCATTGGATTATCGAGACAAATTTGGATGGACAGCTCTTCATTGGGCTGCATATTGTGGAAGGTATAAATAGTTCTTGTCAATCATATCAAATTTCAGAAACTCTGGTGCATCACATGACATAGGTTGCTGAATACAATTCTTGGGACCACTGAGAAATATTGTTTTAGCCTTTTCCTTTCTCTCTCACGTGTTCCTTGGTGCTTCTCTGTAGTCTTTTGTACTTTTTTTTGTTTTTTTGTTTTTTTGTTTTTTTGTCGACGTTGTAGATGGTCTAACTTCTAACAATTGCCATGGTATGTTGGGGGAAAATATAGTCTGGAGCAGGAAATACCTGCATATTCTTGGCTCATATTTGTTGTTGGATTTTGAAAACTGCTGTGATCTGGTCATCGCTTAATTAAAAATCTCCATTTTCAGGGAGAAAATGGTTGCTGCTCTTCTATCTGCAGGGGCAAAGCCGAACTTGATCACAGACCCAAATTCAGAAAACCCAGATGGATGCATCCCGGCTGATCTTGCATCTAAGAAAGGTTATGATGGTTTAGCAGCTTATCTTGCAGAAAAGGCTTTAGTGCAACACTTTAAGGATATGACAATAGCTGGAAATGTCAGTGGTGCATTGCAAATCAGCACACCTGACTCAGTAAACGTCGGGAACATCAGCGAAGAGGAGTTGTATCTGAAGGATACTCTGACTGCTTATCGGACAGCTGCTGATGCAGCAACACGTATACAGGCTGCATTCAGGGAGCGCTCATTTAAGCTACAGTCAAAAGCAGTTGAGGTTTCCAATCCAGAGAATGAAGCACGCAATATAATTGCAGCAATGAAGATCCAGCATGCCTTTCGCAACTATGAGACTCGAAAAAAGATGGCAGCTGCTGGCCGAATTCAACATAGGTTCCGTACTTGGAAGATCCGAAAAGAATTTCTCAATATGCGACGTCAAGCTATCAAAATTCAAGTAAGCTCTATACAGAAGATTCCTTCATGCTCAATTGATTATTCAGAACACCTAAGCAGAGCCATATAGTGGATGGACAGCTTCCGTTCAAACTCAAATTGCTTTTTCCAAGTCAATCTGAGTGGCCATTTCATGCCTGCTCTCTCTCTGTGCTAGATATATATAAGCTTTTACTCAATCCTCCATTTGGCTGCTTAGAGCTACCTAAATCAGCCTGAGCTGCATGGTTTTTTAGAGCCAACAGTTGTGGACTTGGGCAATATGACTCCCTTTCAGAATTAAGAACAGCAGTCTGTAAAGGGGAATTTTTTTTTTTCATTCTATTTTTGATGTACATTATCAAGGTCGATCGGGACTTGGTCGTTATAAACAATCAGAGTCTCTCGACTTTGATAAATGCAATAAAGACTAATCATTCAACACTGTGTGATGCAGGCTGTTTTCCGGGGGTACCAAGTCCGGAGGCAGTATCAGAAGATTGTTTGGTCAGTTGGAGTGCTTGAAAAAGTAATTTTACGCTGGCGTTTGAAGAGAAAAGGCTTTCGGGGACTTCAGGTTAGCCCAGTTGAAGCTATGAACAATCAAAAGCAAGAAAGTGAAGTGGAGGAGGAGTTCTTCCGAGCCAGCAGGAAACAGGCTGAAGAGCGTGTGGAGAGATCTGTTGTACGGGTCCAAGCCATGTTTCGCTCACGGAGAGCACAAGAAGAATATCATAGGATGAAGTTGGCTCATAATGAAGCAACGGTACACAATTTGTGTCTAACTAGTCTAACTTTAGTTAAAGTGGAATCTATTTATCACTTGACCAAGTTGATTTTGTTTTGTGCAGCTGCAATATGAAGGACTTGCCTCTCCTGATAATAATATGGGATAACTAGAGTTTGCTTCAGGTAGTTACAGCAACATTGACAAAACAAAAATGTTTCCAAGGGCAAGTTTGTGTTATTGGCTGCAACGTGTATATCTTGTAAATGCCTAGATTAACTGTAGATTTGGCCCATCTGTGTGTTTTATGAAAATGTGGGGGACCATGTTTTCAGTTTGATAGGTATTTCAGGTCCTTGTGGTCTTGTTTTGATGATTGACAGGTTTCAGTGTTTATCCTCATGTTTTGGTACATTCTCTCTTTAATAGTGCGTGGTTACTATATTGCAGATGGTTCGTTCGGGTACTCTTCTCTTCAACAACACACTCCTAATAGTAATGTTTCATTCATTTGAACAAATTTTACCCGCCTATTTTGTGCCAAAACCTGTTGGGTCTGTCATTCTTCATTGGTTTGCATTGCTATATATGATAGTGCGAGCTCATTTATCAACATAAGGGCCATGATGGAAAGGCACTCTCCATTTGGTGTCAGAAGTGCCTCCTTGTAACCCTTGCCTACAGACCAAATTTGGTCTGAAATGAAATTTGGATATGCAAATCATCACATTCATTCATACCTCTTTTGCATTGACATCCATACATCAAAGGTTTGTTCCCTTGCCAATTCCATGAAGTAACAAGTGTAAAACATACCAAGTTATTTGTGTTAACTTTTAAAAGCTCATTTCTTTAAAAAGCTCATTTAAGATCAGTGCAAATGGTAAAAAAAATCTACCTTGAGCATATTTTAAAACTTATTAAATTTTCATTAGGAACTTAAACAACCTACTCATCAACCTGGCTCGATTAAAGTTAAATCAACACAAAAAATCAGCTTAAATTTTGCTCGATTAAAATTGCTTGGAGATCAGCTCAAAATGTAAATAAATTAAATTTGAAAATTTGAACATATTTTAAAGCTCGTTTAACCTTTCATGTTGTGTTTGAGCAACTTCTTATTCAGCTTGACTTAATTATATACATTATAAATTATAAAAATAAAAAATAAATAAATCTATTTAAGCTTGGCATTTTGATACTCGGCTTGCTTAAAACCCTTTTAGATAGACTCAAAAAGTAAAAGTAAACAAACAAAGGGGTTTGCTTGGTTTTTGAGTTTGGGTTAAATAATCACAAAAGGACAAAAACAAGTAAAAAAATCATAAAATGCCAAAAATTACAAAAGAATAAAAAAAATTCACTATTTCAGTGTTAAAAAGTCAAAAAGTCAATTAAGAATACCAAATTTTTGGATTTGTTTAATTTGTGTTTTGAGATAAATTTTTAGAAAATTTTTTGGAAAGAGCTCAAATTTTTTTTTGATTTGTTTGATTGTATATTTTGAAAATAATTTGAAAGTTTGAGAGTTTAAGATGATTTAATATTTTGTTGTAGTTAAATAAATATGTGTAAGAAAAAGCAATTGAGAATGAAAGAGAAGAGAAGAGAGATAAAAAATGATTGATTGATGTGTAAAAGAAAGAGAGTAATAATTTGAACCAAACAAAATTTTAAAAATCTTCTGAAAATTTGTATCTTGAGATCTCTTTGAAATTCGTCAAGGTTTTAAGTAAAATTTAAACAATCTATTATTCAGCTTGGTTTGTTTATGACCAAGTAGCACCATGAGTGAGCCCAAAGTACATAAGTAGCACACCATACGTGAGCCCAAAGTGCACAACATGTCACCTCCAATGAGACGCAAAAGATGGGACCATTTCCTGCAATTTTGCATCAAATACGAAGAAAGAAAACAGAAAGAACTTAACCTTCCCCACCCAAAAAAAATGGAAAATGAAAAAGATATTGTCAGCAAGCTAACAAGGTAAAAGTGCTAAGAAAAACAACATGCTAAACTTTCAATTATGCAATTTATACCATCTAACTGTTCAAAAGAAATTGCATGCAGCAGTGTCATGAAAATTACTATTAGGTAGCTCAGCACGTATGTTTGCCCATTCATTCTCCTACTTAATATATTGGGACATCCACTTAAAGCCATCACCGTATCCCATCTTGCGAACGATGCTGCACATAAAGACCTCGAGAGGGCGGACATTTGAGTCGGCAAGGTTAACCTTACCCTTACCAGTAGTAATGCCAGTCAAACCCAAGTAATATCGCAACTCATCCTCTGATGCAGCATAGGGTATATCAATCTTGTTCCCAAGTATGAGAAATGGGACATTTGCAAGTGACTCGTCCGAGAGGAGGGCATCCAACTCCTTTTTGGACTCCGCAAATCTCTCTTTGTCATAAGCATCAACAAGGTACACTACAGCATCCACCTAAATGGTTCAAAAAACAGTACACTGTTTAGGAACTAAATTGCAGCTGTAATTTGGCTTTTCAGCTTCTCAAAAAATTTGGCTTTCCATGCCATGAGAGAGATGAGAATAGCAACAATAGGATAAAGAAACATTTCGGCAGCGAGTTATTTAGCATTGCAATTAATTCGAGGTCCAGATAGCTGAAACCAACTGGATGCAAAGTTCAAGCCCTCAAAACTACAAATGCATTGACAACAATGGCATGAATATGAACAATTTTAAATTTTTTATCAACCGATGTACATGATGTAGTAATTTTAAACAGACTAGTTCATTCCATTAACTCAACTGTAAATTGCACCATTGTGGTAAAAGCATACAAGGTTCTAGACTTGGCAACAAATTGACACCAAATGGACTTGCCGAAGACTGGAACACATGATCCAGACATTGCTTCGTCACTGTCAGGACACTTGCTCATTAAAATTTGGTCTACTTACCTTAATTGAGTCCTAGCACAATTGGAATTAGATTTACCACTCAAAACTTGAAGCCCACCTTAAGGCAACTCAAGTGAGTGAGGACGATTATTGGAGCAGTTCCCACTTGAACTGGGATCAATTCCATCCCAAGCAGAGCCTAGAGGTGTCTTTGTAATTTCCAAAGAAATTCCAAAATATCTAGCTCGATGCCTGCCTGAGTGGACTCTAGGTTTGGATCAACAATTCCATTCCACGATGTCAAAAGCCTGCCCAAAGGGTGCTTGAGCGTGCATACAGAGAGAAGTCTAATTAGGTCAAAAAACTGCTTCTGTTTTTTTTATTATTGAAACATGGTTGGTTTTCTTATTAATAGACACACTTTAAGACAAAATCTTAGGCTTTTTTGGTTTTAGCTTTGTGATATTTGAAGCCCTGTTTTCTCAAACTTTTTGGTGAGAAATTCATTAGTAAGACTCAAATTTGAGTATTTTTTAATAGAAACTCCACCCATACACTTTCCATAACACACCCATCCATTGGCCGTTAAGTAACAAAGCGCCAAGGAATGGAGAACGGAAGAGGAGTTCCATAGAGCACCAGTGAATCAAGATTTTCTGCAAAGGCAGAGCCATGAGGAGTGGAACAAGAGCAAGAAGCTTGGAGTAAAGGCTTCTTGAGTGAGTTTGGCCTATTCACCCCCCTCTAGGCATAAAATTTTTCTATTTCACTATATCATAACAAAACCGTACAGCATGCACTGGCCATCCTAACATCTTCCAACTGACATCATTGAAAGATGAGGGTATTTGAAGAAATGGCAAAAAGGATGAGGTAAAAACTGACAAGTGACGGACAACAAATTATCAATTAGGATAAAAAAAATATGTAATAGTTTCTTAGATGCTCAATAACTTGAGCTTCCAACACGATACACCAACAACCATTTAAGAAATTATCAAACCCAACTTCATCATCTTATACAACCTGACATTGGACTTTTACTCACCATGGATTGTCTTACAGCATGCTCTGCCTTAGATAAAAATTTCTCAAATGGTTTGCCTTATGCTGTGTTGGGTTAGGAGGTGAAATATGAATAAAATATACTTACATTTCACCTAATTTTATACACTTTTTCCCTTTATCTTTTTAAATCCCTTCCCAAATCTCCCAATCAAACATAGACTTAGAAAAAAATTCCAAACTCTTAAATGGATGCCAATACCGCTAAGGTAAAAAGAAAAGTTACATTTCAAGTTTATATATAAACTATCATTTGGAATATCTTAGTTTTTTAAGATCAATTTGAGGCATTCTAAAAATTTATCATTCAGACAGTTCCATTTCCCACCAAATCTCACCACGTTTGGTGAGAAACAAAATAATTCTTTTAAAAGAGTTCTATTTCTCACCATATATCACCCTTTTTCTCACCTAGTTAACCATCCAAACAAGAGATTTCTTCACCAAAAACATCAATTCAAACTGACAGGTAACCAAAAGAATTCAGATCTCTTTCTTTCTCTCACTCACTCACACAAACAAAAATAAAATCATCAATTCTATTTGGGTTAATGGGAAATAGATCAACAACTACACTTGTGCCTAAAATTTGTCTCAGCAAGTGACAATTGAAACAAGAACTATGCACAATTCATAAGAGCATCATATATGCATATGCTAATTCAAGGTTTTGAACCCACTAAAAGAAAGATCAAGAACAACCATAGTCATTCAAGACTCCACAGAGTAAATTAACTAAAAATGTCAATGTCACAAGAATTTTACCTGGGCATAGTAGTCCTTCCAGACTCTTCGAGCGATCTGATGCCCACCTAAATCAAAAGCTTTGAACTTAATTTTCCCAATACTCAATTCCTCTGATGTCGGATACTGTGTCGGTTGATGCTGTACCAATCTCTGCCAAAAAAACAATAACAATTCTTAAAAATTCCTAAAAACTCAAATCTGAGAAGAAAAAAAATCGGGGTTTTCTAGAGAGAGAATCAGAACCTCATCTTTCAACATGTGAAGCAAGGTAGTCTTTCCGGCATTATCAAGCCCTAAAAACAAGATCTTGGCCTCTTTCTGCCACAAACCGAGAGATGCAAGAATTCCGTAGAACCAATCAAACAGAAACATGATTCGATTTCAGCGCCGATCTCCGATTAAACTCTGATCAAATCTCGCCGGAAAATCCAAAATCACAGTGCTGGTGAATGATGATTTTGTTATGGGAAGAGAAAAGGATGGAAAATGGAATAGAATTTTTTTTAATATTTATTTATATAGGGTGAGGTGGACGAAGGTTACCGGCTGTGCCGGTGTGCCAGGGGTGAGTAGCTACGTGGGTTGATGACGTGGAGTGGTAAAAAGGTCAGTGGTGACTGAAATATCCGGTGAGTTGGATGGTAATCCACGTGGATGATAACAATTGGTTGTTACGCGTCATCCGATTGTGCAGCCGTCGATTTGGAAACCATTGGGCAGTGATTTTGTCGCATTAGGGACGAATTTTTGGCTGCGGTTTAGTAGCTCAAAATTTATGGTTTAAATTTGTGAAAATGATACCGTTTTATATTTAGCCTCTGTTTGGTAGGTGGGTTTGCAGGTTTTTTTAGCTATTTTAGCCACAAAAAATAAAATAGGCTATTTTAGCCATAACAAACAAAACATCACATCCAACCCATAATCATTACATTCTTCTCTCACAAAAAAACTCAAAAAAGCTAAAAAGCCAAAAAGTCCTTCCCAAACCAAGCTTTTAAGCCCAGGCTAAAATAGTCAAAAAAGCCAAAAAGCCAAAAAGCCAACCCACTTCCCAAACGGAGGCTAAAATGATATCGTTTTGAATAATTTAAATCATAAAATTTTAAATTACTTAGTATTATTGTTTTAGCGGGTTAGGTTGGAAATAACAATAAGTTATTTTATTAATTTTTTAATTTTTTATTAAAATATGAGATAATAAAAAAATTAACGTATTTAGAATAATTTTTTGATTTTTTTTTTTTTAAAATTTGTATAAAAAGTAGAGAAAAAATAGGATATTTGAATTTTTTGTATGAGTTATTGATTTTTTAAATTTTTTTAATGACCTTTTAAAATTAAAATAATGAATTGTCAAACGAAAATAGATGAAATGTTTGAAGTATATAGAAATAAAAAAAATTAGTTGATACTTTGAAATTTTACGTGATGATGCTTTTTGTCGCGTTCGGATCCTTTAGAGTGATCCCTCTAGAGTGATCTCCTAAAATAAAAGAGATGGGCGCGACACCTGTCCCATTAATGAAACCAAGGGTTGAGATCAATCCCTCATCAAAAAGACGTCGTTTTGGTGAGAATTTGTTTTAAAAAAGAAAAGAAAAGAAAAGACATGAACAGAATGAGAAGAGAGAATATGGAGATTCCATGGCCAAACCCACCCTTTTCAGAGGTGGCGCCCTCTTGGTCCTCTACCCTCACCGACCGCTGCCAATTGCTCCCCAACCCTCCTCCGGCCAACCTTCCTTTCCCCCACCCCACTGCCTCCATCCATCGCCGGAAGCTAACTCTGAAATCTATTGGAAAAATTGTTTGAAAAAACGCTTGGTCAGGAAAAAAGAAAAAAAACAAAGTATTGGTTTGAAAAAAAAAAAAAACAGAGCATGGTCCATGATATATACCAGACACAAACCTACTTTGGCAAATAATGGAACACACAGGTGGGTGTTTGTATTATAGAACAAAAAGAAAAAAGGCTTCAAACTATATATATATATATATATTGGGAACAAGATTCAAAGAAAAAAAATAAAATAAATTTAAAAATTATGTGTAAACTATCAACTGATCTTCCAATTTTGATTTATTATAATATGATTTTTTTTTATAATTATTATTTAGCAAACGGGAGAGAAGATTTACAGACCCCATCATCGTCAAAATCAAAATGAGCAATAGAATCAACAGATATGATCAACCGATATGGAGATCGGCGGAGGAGATCAAAGATGACGGTGTGAATGGCGGCGGCGGCAAAAGAGATCGAAGACGAAGGCGTTGACAAAAGGTCTTCCAGAATGAACCCAGGAAGGACTTGAGAAAAAAGATATTTGAATTTGAATTTTATTTTTTTTTTTAATTTCTCTCACCAAAATGACGTCGTTTTGGTGAGAGATTGATCTCAACCCTTGGTTTCATTAGTGGGACAGGTGTCGCGCCCATCTCTTTTACTTTAGGAAATCACTCTAGAGGGATCACTCTAGAGGATCCTAACGTCTTTTTGTCAATCACAAATCTTTTATCTCTTTATATTTCCTAATAATTTAGGCTTTGTTTGGGAAAACTAAGGCCAATACAAAATAATTCATCTTTTTTATCTTTTTATTTTTTTTCCATCACATCACCTCTCTACTTTTCTGTATATATTTTCGTAAAAAGATAAAAAGTATACTTATTTAAGTCATCTCAAACAACTCCTAAATAAATCCACACTTTTTATCTTTTTATCTTTTTTGGGTCATATCAATCAATATCTACTCTCTATTTTTCTACACATTTTTTTATAAAAAAATCAAAAAATACACTTATTTAGAACATTCTAAACAATCCCTTAACATAAAATCATATATCTCCGTCCCTCCATCAATCCTAACATCTTTAACCAATCAACAACTTCTCGGGAGCTTCTATTTACACATCCACCTTCCCCTCTTTGCACACACTTCATAAAAATTATTTTTATTATAAATTTTTTTTCAAGTGAAATTACTATTATAGACATCAAATAAACACATTCGGAAGTTGAATGTCGAAAAAATAATAAAAATTCAGAAGTCTACTTCCGAACCAATTGTTTATTTTCGGAAAGCAACTTCCGAACCAATTACTTATTTTTGGAAATCTACTTCCGAACCAATTATTTATTGAAAAAGATGTGTAAATAAGGGAATGGTGTGTGTAAATAGAAGCTCCCACAACTTCTCATAGAGATGATTCCGACGGACCGAACCCACCCTTTAAATTCACAGGCCCGCCCAAAATAGTTTGAAAAATATTTGTGTAATATTTTAAAATAAAAATATGTCTATTGTTCAAATTTTATAAAGCTAACAAAAATATATATGTAAAATAAAAAAGAAAATAAAATGTAACTATTCACACATATCAGATAGAAGAAGTGATTTCAAAACTGAAATATAAATATTGAGTTTTGTTGACTCATATGTAGTGTTTTTTTTTTGTTTATTAAAATAAAAAAGAATGAAATAAAATAATTATTCTTTATACACCCTATAAAATTATTATTAGCGTTTTTTTTATTAAAATAAAATAGAAAGAAATAAAATAATTATTCTTTATACACCCTATAAAATTATTATGATTTATTGACGATTATCAATAATTATTTTATTTATAACATATTTTTCATCAATTTTTTAATAAAGTAAACAAAAAACTAAAAAATCAAGGTACCATTTGGTTAAGTTTTCAAATTATGATTTGGATCAAAAAATTTCAAAATTCATAACCAAACAAAGTTTTCAAAACTCATTTCAATTTTTTTTTTCAAAACTCATAACCAAATTATTTTCAAAACTTTATTTTAAAAAATTCAAAGAAAATATTTTTTTTGTTTATTAAAATTATTTTTTATCTTTTATTTTTTTGAAAAAAATATTTTTTTATTTTTTTAAGTATTTGTCAAATAATTTGTTATGATTTAGATATATATGGGCGATTCAAAAAATTTTTAAATTTTAAATATTTTAATATACATATTTTAAAAAAATAAAAAAATATTTAAAATAAAAAATAAAATAAAATTTTTATTTTTAAAAACACTACGCACAAATCACATTAAAAAATAAAAATAAAATAAAATGAAGAAAATTTTAAATATTTTTTTCAAAAAAATAAACCCCAAACAATTCAAAATACAACTCAAAACTCAAAAAAAATTTCAAAACTCGAAACCAAACAAATTTTCTCTTTTCAAAATTCATTTCAAAAACTTATATTTCAAAGCACAACTCAAAACTTATTTAAAAAACTAAACCAAACAAACCCCAAAAAAGCATTAGGACTCTTTTGAAAATTAATTATTTGGCTAAAATAACCTATTGAGGGGGTAGTTTCTGATTTTTCCAGGGCACCAATTAAACAAATTTAACATAGGAAGGTCCAGCCCAAAAATATTAACTGGCGGACCTATCTTAGGCTTTACGGCCCATAAAAATCCACAAGCCCATCGTCGCTTCACCGACCCCAAGGACGCCGCGAGCGAGCTAGGGCTTCGAACGAAGTCAGATAAGTAGCAAAGCAAACCCTTCTTCTTTCAGCTCCACTATAACGCCGAACCACTCAACAGAGCCAAGCAGCGAACACGTAGGTCCATCCTTTAGATTTCTCTCATCTTCATCTTTCAATCTATAAAGTTCGCATTTTTGTCACTGATTTATGGTTTTCAATTGGATTTGGCAGAGATGGCGAAGTCCAAGAATCACACGGCTCACAACCAGTCCTACAAGGCTCACAAGAACGGGATCAAGAAACCCAGAAAGCACCGCCACGCTTCCACCAAAGGGGTACTCTCTCTCTCTCTCTCTCTCTCTGTGAAAAGATTGTGAATTTATTTATTTTATTTTTTGGGGGAAATTTGTGTGTAGATGGATCCTAAGTTCTTGAGGAACCAGAGGTACGCGAGGAAACACAACAAGAAAAGTGGTGAACCAACCACAGAGGAAGAGTAGACCTACCTACCCACCTGAAATGGGTCTCACTCGTTAGGGTTCTATTTTATTTTGAACTAATTTTTTACTTTAATATGAAACAATTTTCATTAGATTGTTCTGGGTTGTATTTTTCTTGTTGAGATGAGCTAAACCCATTTCTAATTTTGTGGGGATGTTACTATTGGTGTCTGTTGAAAGATCATATATTTTGAGCTTGTTATTTGAAATCCATTTTCTTTTGATATTTTTGTTCCTTAATATTTCATTTCTCATCAATTTGTGGATCTGTTATATTGTAATATATGCGTAGCTTAAAGGGAACAATAGTTGCAAAATATGGTTCTTACTAGTTTATTGGAAGGTGATAAGTAAGGGGCCTGTTTGCGAATCGTGTATAACGTAGTTTGAGTTCAATTTTTTTGTACAATTCAATAGATTTGTTTGCTGGGAGGGTTGTTGCCTCATTGTTGAATTAGTTCACTTTGTGGCAGTTGATGAATTTGGGGCGTGAGGGTTCTTTTTGATCTTGTACTAGAGCACAGGACGGCTTGTGAATCATTTATCATATAGTTTGAGTTGAATCGTATGCATCATGATTCAGTTGATGTGTTTGCTGGGAGGAGGAAGGGGTGTTTCATTGTTGAATTAGTTCACTTTGTTGTGGCTCATGACTTTGGAGCATCTCTCGCTTGGAATGCAAAGCATCCTTTTTAATCTTGAACCAAGGCACACTGAACACCAACCCAATCGTATCTTACAGTCTGATAAAGATTTTGGGAATAATTCCTTGTTGGTCAAATGGAAGCTAACCTTGTTCATGAGTATTTTCATTATCATTTTTATTTAGGTTCCATTGATTGAGCTCACTGCAGATAGTGCATGATTATTTGGGATCAATTTTTTGTAAACTGATGTGGCATGATTTTCATAGAAGTGACTAGTTTCATGTTAGTTGTCCATTTGAGTTGGGTGTTTAGTCTTTCATGTGAGAGTCCTGCCCAGGAATCTCAGGCTGGAGATGGGTGTGCAAGGGTGGGCTCTAGGTAACACTCGTGTGTAATTTCCGCTTACAACATGTGTGGGCAAAAATAGTCTATGATTTGAAGAAAAGCTAATTATCGAATTGGGGAGGGGTTGGTTTTTGTTTTTGCATTCAATGTTATACTATTTGCATGTAAAATTTATAGCTGTTGTTTGCATGAGCTGTTGTTTCTTTAAGATAATAGGCATCCATGAGGTTTTTTTTTTTCTAATCACCCAGTGTTACTTCGACTCCAAGCTAGGTAAATTTTTTCCTTAAAAGAATGTTAAAGAGAACGTAGTAAAATTGTGATCCGTATTCTGCAAGTAATTTCCTGTTTGCCATATACATGTAAATGAATCCAGTTGTTTCGGAGACACATTAGTATATTGGCCGTGAGTATTTCTCCTTCCCTCTTTAAATTATTGTAGTTAAAAAGACCTTCAATAATTCGACATTTTGTCTGGAAATGAGACCTACATTTTATTGAGCACTGTATTATATACAAGATGGAATTTATAAATAAACTTGAAGCACTGGTGTCAAGATTTCACTCTGGATTCAACGTGGGTAATAAATTTGATATGCCACATTTATTTTCGCTTCTTACTGATCATATGCGAAGCGTCAGGATAAGCGTGTGTTACATTTCTTTTGTATTTGGTTGTAAAATGATGTTTTATTAGTTTGTGATAGTAGTGAAGTCGGTGTGATTGTGGCAACGGTGTTGGTGACAGTAAGGTAGTGTCAGCAAGATTGGTGGTGGTGATTGTTAGGTGGTGATGTTGATAAGTCTCCTGTCCGAAATACAATTTTCATCTTTAAAAAGCAAAGAATGTTTGTTTCCCAAATAAACTCATTTTTGGTTGATCACGACAAATGTTGTCCATTATATCAAACATTTTAGAAATTTTTTTGCTGCATGAATGAAAAACTGAAGAAAAGACTATGCTATATGGCTCTTAACAGTGAAAGCATCACTGCCATTGAAAAAAACAGTGAAAACATCACTCAATAATAACTTCCTTGAATAATAACAGTAATAACGATAGGGCCTCTTCTGTGCAGCAAAGTTTTATCCAACACTAAATTTGGAAAATGATTTACCACATGAAAACAATTGCACATCCCTAAGGCTTTGGAAAACAATGTCAGGCACTACTATCATTGAGAAGGCAAGTTCTCTAAGTAATTTGTTTATTCTCACTCAATGGCAGATCTGTTGATTCTTTTCCATCAGGGGAAACGTGTTGTCTTGTGAAACTTGCTGATACGAACAAACTACTCCAAAAAATTTACATCAGAGTGTTGAAAAGCTTTTAGACTGCAACTGATTCACTAATTGGACTAGAGACTTGTGCATTTACCTGCTTAGAGAGACTAATTTTCTGTCAATATGATGCAGATTAGTGTAACGTCTTATTTAGAAAAATGGTGCTGATCCTCATTATTGTCACGTTTTATCGTGAAACATACAATCAGTAGGATCTGGCTCCTCTCCAGCCAAAGAGAAGTGAAGTCCAGTTTGTTTTGGCCCACCATGATTCTCATTTCGATGATTTGACTGTTTATTTTGCAAGCCTGTGTGGAGATCATCTATGAAAAAAATTGGATTGTGTCGATAATTGTAATCACGTAAGTTTATCAAATTTGTTTTAAAAAACAAGAAAATTAAAAATTGATGGTCTATTTCAAATTCATACGTCTTCTATTTTTCAAAGATAAATCTAATGAAATTATGTGGCTACAATTATTAGATTAATCTATTTTTTATTTTATTTTATAAATGATCTACACACAATGGCCTATAAGATTTACAACTCATATTGTCGGAGTGGGATATGTTGTGAAGCCCAACCTGAATTGGACCTATCTCTAACTGGAGAGAAGTAAGGTAATGTTAGATGAAGAGTTGGTCAATATCAGAAGCTTACCTTGGCTGATTTAAAGAGTTCGTCCAGAACTTCAGACAATGTTGGATGAGCATGCACTGCAAATTTTATGTCCTGCAGGGTGACAAAATACAACCCACACTCACAAATTAAGTGATTGACTACTGAAATTAGTTTCAGTCAGTGTCACACTGTCTTACATGGACTCTTCCCCTCAAAGTAACCGTATCTACCGTATATAACAAGGTTAAGGCTGTGAGATATGTGACTGACACTTAGATTCTCAAATTTATTATGATATTTGATGAAGAAGAAACTCACATTTTCTAGTAAAGAAACATTTCTAGCCACTCACATGGACAAGAGAGAGAAATTCCATAATTTTCCTAAATTATGTTTAATTTCAAGTATTTTTCTACATAATTTCAACATTTTATCTAAAAAATATTATACAATATGCAATATATATGTATCCATGACACGTCCCCATACTTGTATCCAACTTTTGGATACATATCTCAATATCATAAAATTTAGATTTATGAAAGTCTGATGCTTGGACACACATTTACAACCAATATTCATATCCAAGTTCATGTAACATAGGTCACACTCGTTGATTAAGCAAGAAACTATTAGGTACCATATTCTGAACTAGATGATCCACTTGCAAGTTATTAGGCGGGATTATAAAAATGGTTCAAAAAGTCCAATGTTCTGGGCATAGCTGTACAGTGAACCATGATGAAGACTGACATATTTAAGGAAGCAATTGATGTAGCTAAAATTTGACGTTTTATCATGGCAAAACTACCTGGATACGTGTCCCCAATGCTATGGCATTGGATGCTTCATGGATAAGGTCTGCAGCATGCAACCCAAAAATATGAACTCCAAGTATCTCCCCGTTGTCAGGTCTGTATATTAACTACCAAGGAAGAATAAATCAACATAATTAAGATAGAAGTAAAATAATGAGAAGCATCGAAGTGCAAGAGTAAAATTAAATTTTGATGGTTGAAATTGAAATAGGAGAATAGTTACATAATTTTATTTATAACGAGTGAAGGAAGAGTAAAAAAAGAGCAAGGTGTAAGCTTGACCACATGGTTTAGATCATCACAAGAACTTATTAATAAGAACAGAAAAATGAATGTGACAATGAGAAAGAAGAAAACAAACACAAAGCAGTTATGCAGAAACATGAAAATTGTCGAGTCACTTTCAAAATAAATTAATCAATAACATATGGAGAAGAGAATCTGTTAGTTTCCCCTTATTACAAGGCTGGCATTATAGAGAAGAAGAAGGTTAAGAAATAAAACCTTAGCCAGTCCCTCCCCTTCGTTTTCTGCTAGAGCCTTTGTGTTAGCCTTAAAACTTGTCTTGGCAACACTTATCTCAAACCCCTCTATTTCAGCTTTTTCCCTTGCTTGAGGCTGCAAAATTTTAGATGTTAGTCAACTATAGGCAAATTAAAAGAATATGGTGGGTAAGCTTTCTTATTTCACTACCCAATAAGAACAAAAGAGAGAATATCCCTTTTTATTTATTTTATTCTATTTGTGGGTTTGGTATGGGAATTGGAAAATTTGATATTCACCTCTGTGAGTCCAACCATACTAATTTCTGGGTGAGTGAAACAAGCTGCTGGAATGCTCAAATGGTTGGGCACGTGATCTTTTCCACTGACTTGTTCAACAACTATATGAAGAGAGCAACGCTAAATATGCAATAGGTGTAAAATGTACGCATATAGCCTGAAGTAGCAACTAGCAAGGTAATAACCACATACCAGAAATCCCTTGTGCACTGGCAGCATGAGCAAGCATCATTTTCCCATTTGCATCACCAATACAATACAAGTGAGGAACCTAATGGTAGAAGTATTATTTCAAGAACCAGTGGCAAAACCATACAGAAAATTGTGTTCAAGGCAGAATGTATAGATAACAAACCAGATTGCCATTTGCGTCAATAACTTGCATACGCTCATCTACTGGAACAAAACCCCGTTGTGTCACTACATTGATCTGCAGAAAAACCAATACAACACTTGAAACACATCTTAATTATCAGTGAACAGCTCACCATTGTCTCATGCATATTATCAGTTAACAAGACATACATTCTCCAGTCCAAGACCTTTTGTAAATGGAGCCCTTCCAGTTGCAATTAATGCCGCATCTACCTATAGCAAAACAACAGAATTTTGTGATAAAGGGTGCGGTACAACAAACTAGATAAAGAAAAAAGCATGGACAGAAAGTAAGGCAGAAAAGTCCGTTGTCTCAAATTGGGTTTTCAAGCTTACTCCTCCATAAAGGAGCGACCCATTGTTACATGGGAGCAAAAATACAATAAAAACCTCAAAACTAGATTACATCCACAAAGGAAAGGACCTTTTAATTTCGCCACTCTGTTAATAGAACATGAAATCTGTTACCAATATCACAGAACTAAAAATTACCTCCAAGGTATCTTTCGGTTCTTTTGTCTTGGCATCAATAAGCTCAATAGTGACTGGTTTCCCATCCATTGCTGGAGTGATCTATAGAAAGGAAAACACACGGGATTTAGAATTTTAGAAAATCGCACACAAAAATAAACAGGAAATTACCTTGGAAGCAAACACTCCAGTGTGATAGTCAATTTTCCTTGGATTTATCAGGACTCTTTGGGCTAACTTTCCAATTTCAGGATCAAATCCAGGCATAAGTTGATCTAGAGCTTCAATGAAAGTAACCTGTGCAATACCTTTATGATCAATTTGGTCGACTCAGTAATAATTGAAATCATCGAGGTTGTACCAAGACAAAAGAGATCCAAAAAAACACTACTACATCAACTCATTATAAGCAACTTACTAGACAAAAGAACAGACCAATTTATTTGAAGAAAAGGAATATGGAAGAAGAAATATAATTGTAACTCCAGTGATTCTCCCATCACACACTCACTTTTACTGGGTGTGATTCATGACCAAAAGACAACCATCAGTTGACACTTCATATGACCATTCTGAAAGAAGTGAAGTGATATACCGGAAAACTCAGCAGCATAATCAAGTCAGGACTTGAACATTTCATAACAATGGATGGAAAAAAGTAATACTATCAATGAGGAGGATGGTGGAGAATGAAGCATTTGTTCTTTCAATTTTAAACCACAATTTAGTGGTTATCTTACAATTGGTTCCAACACAAAAGCAAAATACCACTTTATTTAATGTAAAAAATAATTGAAATTTCCACTTTATTTAATGTAAAAAGTAATTGAAATTTCTGAAAGAGAGAAGGACAAGAAGAACAAATAAGAGTCTACCTCACTTCCAAGTGCTGTATAAACATCACTGAATTCAAGCCCAATATAACCACTTCCTACAATAGCTATCCATTCAGGAACGAACTCCAATTTAAGAGCATGATCACTGGTAATTACAGTCTTCCCTGCAGTCAATACCTAGTGATTAGAAATCATATGAACATTTGAAAGCGATGGATATACAAAATTATCTTATAGATATTGGAAACAACTGGTATTATAGATCTTCCATCCCTAAGGACCATAACAAGGATGCAAGGTAACAAATCGCATCAAGGAACTTGGACAGAACATATGTTTTCCTCAATGGGCTCATCATGAGTTTATAAAATGTACGGAAAAGGTTTTTGGCATGGCATTTAGTTTTGCTAATTTTATACATATAATATATGTTAATTTTTCTTGTACAACAATCCTAAAGGATGAAAAGGAAGCCATCTTCAAGAGCTGTTGCATCTTGCAAAATATAGACACCATCTATAACACTGAAACTGCTTTTAACCACAGAATTTAGTTAAGACAGCAGAAACCAAAGGCAAAAAGGGTTGAGAATAGAACATTTACCATCAACTTCAATGCCTTTAGGGACAAAAGGGACGGAACCAGTAGCAATAATTATATCTTTTGCGGTTACCACATTGTCAGAAAAGCCAACTTTTCCATATTTCACCTTTTGCGGACCCTGAACATATTCATAAATTAAGACCATAAACATTAGGGTTCATAAGGACCTTCATAACCATGAGAAAACATTCTAAAGCTGTGGATAATAACATAATAAATCTGATTTTATTATTGGGTTTGACTAAATGAACTTTTGCTACCCGTGTTAATAGTGATGCCACATGACAGCATGTATGACTTACCAGTATTGTGCCAACACCTGTCAATATGTCCACACCAAGTGCCTTCAATGAATTGGTCAAATTACTACGAATTTTTGAAGCAAGATTATTTGCATGATCAGCCACTCCCTGTCTGTCATAGCCAGCGGCTGAAACCTATCATTATACACAAAACAGAATAGCACTTTATATATGCCATATTACCAACTTACCAATGAAATGCTGGAGGGAAATTTTAAATGAGGGTGCTATAACTTATTCAAGTTTTAAGAAACTATTGAACATGCTATGATGAGATAACATTATTAAACTAGAATGATGTGTAGTGGGTCAATAAACCTTTTATTACCATTTACTTTTTCATAGTAGGTTAGATGGAATAGTGCCACTTCCCTAAGAGACATGTATGTGCCATGAGAACTGCAGACCCCTTAACTCTTTAGGACGGACACTTTATGCCACCACAATTAGGATGAAAAAGTCATCAATAACCAATTACAAGTATTTTTTTTTAGATATAGTATCAATTGTCAATTGCTAATGTTAAGAATAGCAATGAAGCCAATTAGTATATAGACAAGCAGAACTTGCCGCACTCAGCACACAATAAGCATATGAAGAGGTTTTGTTAGAGAATATTGTTGTATGTATCAGTTTGAAGTTCAGGTAACATTGTAATTTCCTTACCTGCAACCCCAAAGCCTTTAAGTGATGATCGTTCTGAAGTTCACGTATCCGACCACTTACAGCAAGAAGAGCTTTAGACGGAACACAGCCTCTGTTTACACATGTTCCCCCTATGACATCTCCCTCAATGATAGCTGTTCTGAGACCCTGCAATAATCGAACTTAAATTTATTTCATCCCTTGTCCTCAAAAACAAGGAATGGCAGCAACTAATATTGTAATCTTCCACACATTTTTCCTTTTTTGTTAGATTGCATTTTCTTTGTGGTACATTGCCACTTCTTGAATTGTGCAGTGACAATGACTAGACCTAACTTTGAGTTAGACACCACAGAGACCGCATCTTCAAAAGAGGAATCAACCTTATAATCACTAATAGTAATCACCCATGGTATGCACTACCTACTCCAGATCATCTAGAACAACTTTATTGCGCAATATTGGAGTCACCAATAGGTTCTATATGAGTTTTTTTTTTTTAGTGAGTTTTAGTGTTATTTTACCAACAAATATATATAATGAACCTCGAGACACACCCAAAAGAACACACCCCCATTAGAGGGAAAGACACACACCACTCTTATCAAAAACCCAAAATGAAAAGCATATAAACCCACATAATGAAATCAAAAAACATTAAGGCATACCCATAAAAACAAAACCCTCCATACAAATTACTGTCGATGCACTGATTTTTCAGCAATTAAATGGGAAAAATAAAAATTAAGATAAAAATGCAGTAGAAATTGAATTCAAAACAAATTATCATAGAATTATGCAAGCATTATACACTTACAAAACACAATAGGTGACAATTAAGCTGAATAATTGTCCAATAACTAAAATTAACAGAACCTCATGTAATTCAACTGACTATTCAATTGCCATTTCAGCTACATCAAATTCAAACCAATTCGATCGTACCTTCTCCACAGCATGCAAAGCAGCTCCGTGGCCTCCGACCCCAGCTCCGATGATGACGAGATCGTAATCAAACGACTTCGGAGCAGTTCCATTGTCAGACAACGAAGCCGAGAGCTTCTTCGATTGTCTCCGGATCGAAATAAGGATTCGTTGAGATTCGGACCGTTTGAGCTGAGAAAACCCTATAGCCTCTCTTCTAAGCCCGCAGAACCGGAGGTTCAGAGGCTTGTGAGAGGGAGTGATATAGCAGAGTTCGAATGCGTGGTTTGATCGGGCAATAATGGCTGGAGAGGAGTGAGAGTGAGATGTAGAGAGATAAACTGTGGAGTGCATTGTAGAGAGAGAGAGAGAGAGAGAGAGAGAGAGTGTGTTTGTGTGTGTGTGAAGAGCTTCAAAGGGACGGAGAGAACAAAGTTCGGTGGATAAACCACGCTCGCTTTAATGTTTGCTAACATACGCCGGGTGCATTAGTTAAATAAGACAGTCTGATTCAAATAAATGTATTTTTTATTTTTTATGAAAGTACGTAAAAAAAAATAAAAATGTGATGTAACTCAAAAAAAAAAATATAAAAATATAAAAACATAAAAATAAAAATGAAAATAAGAGATGTTAAATAGTGTCTTAGTATTATCTAAATATGAAATTTGATACTCGGCATATAAATTCAAATTTTAATTTTGTTTGAACAAAGATCTACTTGCTAAAATAGTTTGTCCATATGGACCCCATAGGTTAAATGACCAAAATACCTTATGTATATATATATATATAGCAGAGTTCGAATGCGTGGTTTGATCGGGCAATAATGGCTGGAGAGGAGTGAGAGTGAGATGTAGAGAGATAAACTGTGGAGTGCATTGTAGAGAGAGAGAGAGAGAGAGAGAGAGAGAGTGTGTTTGTGTGTGTGTGAAGAGCTTCAAAGGGACGGAGAGAACAAAGTTCGGTGGATAAACCACGCTCGCTTTAATGTTTGCTAACATACGCCGGGTGCATTAGTTAAATAAGACAAAATAAAAAGGTGATGTAACTCAAAAAAAAATATAAAAACATAAAAATAAAAATGAAAATAAGAGATGTTAAATAGTGTCTTAGTATTATCTAAATATGAAATTTAATACTCGGCGTATAAATTTAAATTTTAATTTTGTTTGAACAAAGATCTACTTGCTAAAATAGTTTGTCCATATGGACCCCATAAGTTAAATGACCAAAATACCTTATGTATATATATATATATATACTAGTGCATGTCCGTGTCTATAGACACGATGTAAATAATACTCCCTCCGTCCCAAAATAATGGTCCCTTTTGGGGAATCTAACTTTTTTTGGTAGTACAATTATTGTACTTTTAAAAAGTTAGTTTTCCAAAATTACCCTTTGATAGTACACTTTTTTGAGAATATCAATGTCATAATTGTACTTTTTATATTATTTATGAATTTAAAAGAAGGGCAAAATGGGAGATTTATATTATTTTTGTACTTGATTTTTGAAGAGGGACTAATATTTTGGGACAATGAAAAATGGAATAAGGGACTAATATTATGGGACGGAGGGAGTATTGGGATTGAAATGCAATTGTAATTTATATATGTATTATATTAAAATTTATAGAGTCTGTAATATTTTTTTATTCTTCTTAAAAAACTTTTAACAATTTTACTTGGACCACACACTCTACCGAATTCAATTAAAAATAACAACTCCCCTTAGTCTTGATGCAAATTAAGAAATAAACGTATAAAATTTATAATGTCTATTAAAATTAAAATGGTAAAATAATGTTTTGCAATTATAATAAAATAAAATTAACCAAACAATGCATATCAGCTAGTACTCTGTAATTTTAAAAAATTAAAATTGAATACCAAACAGTGCACACCAATGCTCTCCAATTCTAAAATAAATTAATTAAAACAAAACAACAAATAATGCATACCAACCAATCCTTTGTAATTTAAAAAAATAAAAAATAAATTAAAGTCAAATCTTATAAAAAAACTTTTCAAATGTGAATGTAATACCGAATTTTGGATCTCACATTTCATAACGCCAACACTAATCTATTGTAAACATTGGACCAATATATACAAAAGAAAATGTATAGTAAGAAGATGAGTAAATTAAATAAGAAAAATTGTAAATAGGTGGTAACTTCACAAAATATTTAAAAACTCACACTGATTTGTAATTTTTCCAATGAAATAAGATAAGTAAAGAGAACCCATATTACAATTTAGTGCAAATCTCCATCGTCCTATAAAAATAAAAGAAAAGAAAATTTTATTAGAAGACAATTAGAGGGGAAAAGTGTATTAAAAAGAAGGGGAAAAAAAAGGAGGACAACTTACATGTCCAAAGTAGTGACAATTTACATGTTCAAAGTAATAAATCAATTTAAAATGACTATAAATTTTTAACATTTTTTTTGTACCACATGGAGAACTCAATTGTAATAAACCGATTCAAAATAAAAGATCAAGTCAGCACTTTTACCATTTGTTTGTGGCTAACACCTGTTGGACAATCTTCACTGTATTTAATGAAATAAATTGTGTTTGTGTACTAAACAACAAACAGAATACAAAAGAAATATAGGAAATGGGAGAGTTTGTTTGATTACAAAAATCAAACCAGAAAATGAAATAAAATAAATAAAACTGATTTTTATTTTGTTACAAAAACAAAAACAAAATTTGAAACAGGAAAAATATTAAAACAGAAAAGTAAAATAATTACTTACCAAATTAATTTGTTGAACAAATTTTTCTGATCAAATCTAGTGTTTAACACTGTATCCTTAAGACAGATTCGTCATCTCCACGGTACTTTTAGAATGTGAACGTCTATCTCTCAAGATAAAATGATCAACAACAAACAATAACAGCACTACAAATTGTTTGCACAACGAATATACTTTGTGCTTACATTCTTTCTCACAAGAAAACAATGTAGCAAAATGCAGAGATAACAGGTAGAGTTAGGGACGAAATTGGAGTGAAAGAATCAAATGAGAGGCTGCCTATTTATAGATGGAATGGTGACTGTTTGGTTTGAATCCAACAAGTATGGTACATGTTCGGTTTAAATTTAAACATATACAAATCTATTTGAATTTAAATTAAACATGTAAGGGAGTGTTTGGACAGATTTGAAATCTGTACAGAAAGGTGCAAATTTTTGAACCAAAATTTGAATTTAAACAGTCAGATTTTCAAAATTAATTTTCAAATTATGGACAGATTTTATTTTACCAAAAAATAAAATTAAATTCAAATATTTTTTGCCCAAAAAGAAAGGTATTGGGCCGAACAAGCCCAACCCAACCTCACATTACGTACCCGCGCCCAGGTCCAGCCCAGCCAACTGTAGACACCCAATTTTTGACCATCCTTAAGACTTGGACGTCATCGTTTGTGCACTCGATGATTGTCCTTGTTTGGGTTCGTTTTAAGCGCTCGAAGTCCTCAACGGAATGCCTTGTCTTTGAGCCTCTAAACCTTGCATGTTCTGTGCATGTTTTTGGATCAAGAGCTTGTTGCCTCTTGCCTGGAAGAGAGGGTGACCTGTCGGCCAGCCTTGGGATCTGTCGGCCATGGATTGTGCCTGTTGGCTACCAGTGGTGGCCGACGGCCATTGGTCCATTTTTCCAGATATTTGTTTGTCAGCTGTGCTAGCTATTGCTCACTAAGCTGTATCTTCATACACGTGTATGATAGGATGTATTCAAGCTCAAGACTTGATTTTCTATATATAGGGGGTTCCTCCCCCATTTTGGAAGGTTAGACACTTTAGACCAAAAATCTCTCCCTCTCTCTAGAATTCTCTCTCCCTCTTGTTATTTTGTGCCTTAAAGTCTAGTTTCTCTACACTTTTGCACATCAACCCTTAATCAAACTTGGCCACCTTGGAGCTGAGGTCTCTTGGAGTCTTGTTTGTGCTCTAGAAGAAGGTTTAAGCTTAGATTGTTGCTTAATTTGTGCTTGAGCTTCAAGAGGTAGTTTACTTGATAAGTATACTTGCTTTGAATACTTGTTTTGCCATCCTTCTGTATTGTTTTTGGGCTGGTTTTCAATTATAAAAAAAAAACTCTATTTTTGAGGCTTAACATGATGGTTTGAGGCTATCTTGTGTTAAGGGGTAATCCACCATTCTTGTTGCTTAATTGTTTAGACTTTTGCACCATTTTTCATCACATTCAAATCAAACTTTTTGGGCTTTTTGACCACTGAAATTCAGAGGTTTTTCAATGACAAAACCTTATTTTGATGTCTAAAATTGGAAAGGTTAGCCTCCTCTCCTTGTGTCTTGCTTGCATGCCTAGTTAGCCTTACATGTTAGCATGTTTTTCTAGCCTAACTTAGCTTTAGTCCAGTATTTTTTTGCCTCTATTTTGACTTGCTTTAGCTCTATTTTGGGCTGTTTGGGTCATTTGAGCTTTGTTTTGTATAGTTATGGTGTAATTTCCTTCATTAGCTTAGTGTTTCTAAGCTTTGAGCATCATTTGTGTGTCTTGGTTGAATGTTTTAATAATTTTTCATGCCTAATTCCAGCACTTAACATCTCAGCAACCTCCCTCTTTGCTGCACTTTTTCATTTGTTTGAGGTTTGTTTCAACCTTAGGGTTGTTTAAGCTTGAGGTTAAGGCTCATGTTTAATGGTTTAATCATTTTTTGAGGGTTCATTACCAACGACATGAAGCTTTCCTCATGCCTGGAATTACCCCTTGGTTAACACTTCTTTCACTTTAGAAGACACTCACCAATGGACTTCATCGATTAAAGAATGAATCGATAATGTAAAACGAGTAAACAAAATAAACAAATAAAAGAGGCAAGATAAGCATCTTTCGTGTTGCGTTGCTTGTGTTCGAATAAGACGTTAAGGAAAGTGGGAAATTTCATACTTGAAAATGATGAAATGTGCCACTTTTCTTGGTCTCCATTGCCCTTGATCATGCATGATAATGTGGTGGTTGTTTTGGTCTTGTTTGTGCACTCATTAAGCTTGTACAAGCTTGGTTCCTTAGCCATCATACATGGAAATGCTTGGTTGATAGTTTGAGGGCCAAGAGTTACACTCCTTTGAACTTGTGTGATGATAAGGAGAGTAACAGTACAAACACTCCTTGAGAATACACTGTTTTGCCTCTGTTTGCTCTTTGTTGCAGCAAAAGGAAGTTCAGGGCAGGGGTGGCCAACCGGCCACCAGTAATGCCCGATGGCCACCAGCAGTAGCCGACCGGCCATCAATAAAGAAAGTTGCTCAGTATGTTGGTAAGGTGGAGCAGAGGCATTCTGGGAATTAGTAGCACTGTTGGTTTTAAAAAATGTGCAAACAGAGGCATTCAATGGCAAGGCGGTGGCTTTTCGGGTGGAGAAACCGAGCATGCA